ACAACACCCTTGATTCAAATCCAAACCACTTGTCAGTGGGTTGATGTGCAATGACACATACAGAGCCTTTTGTAACCTCAACCAATGGCTGCATGATAGAAAACAAATAATACAATAATTTTCAAAGAAAAGGATGTTCCTTCTCTTTGCGATTTATGCATTCAAAATGCAGTTTCTCTTTGCCCAGAACTCTTTGGAATAACACAGGTCCTGACAATATTGGTGTATTCTGAAGGGTACTGGGTCATCCGCCAGCCATTCAAATCACGGTTGCGCACCCGCCGGTTGTCAAGCGCTGGTTGGTCTAACCGCCAGCCAGGGCAGTCCTTGGCCTTGCCAATCCCCAGTCCACAAAACTGCAGTCAGGTCACCCAATTGTTGGGACACCCAAACAATTGGGTTACAAGAATCATGCTGATTCTTTCTAGAATTTGGTGAGCAGAATGGTATCCTACCACAGATTATTATTTTTTCTACAAAATTTCATCTTATAAAAATTTTCACAAAAAGAAAAAACTCATCAAACCCAACCTAACTTAACCTAACATCAACCTAACCTAACCTAACCTAAACTAACATAACATAAACTGAACTAACCTAACCAAACCTAACATTCCTGAAATTTTGAAAAAAAATCTGTGGTAGGATACCATTCTGCTCATTGAATTCAGAAAAAAAAGATCAGCATGATTCTTGTCACCCCATCGTTTTGGTGCCCGGACAATTGGGTGACCAAACCACAGTTTCGTGGGCTGGGGATTGGCAAAGCCAAGAACTGCCCTGGCTGGCGGTTGGACCAACTGGCGCTTGACAACTGGCAGGTGCGCAACCGTGAATTGACCAACCAGCAGCTGACTGGACACAATTCTGAAGACTCATGTTATAAAGGTGATTAGCTGGAGCTGCTCTTGGGTAGAAACTGTGTCAATTGTGTGTTTATCAGTATCACACGAGTTTCTTTCATGAGGTTGGGAACAAGATGCCATTGTATTGGCAGTTTTGGCAAATACTGGAAATGACGAACTTTCATCATCTAAAAGTATCCTAAAACTCTTCGCGAAATATTCACCCGCCTCTTTTGGAATTTCAAAACAGGTTTTGTCTCTCTGATATGCCTGAACAAAATATATTAAGAAGATGTGACCAAAATTTTGAGGCTGTTGAACGATTTCTTATTGGGTACAAACTCATTCTACATGAAAAACTCTTTCTACAAGGGAGAAAATCTTTTTTATACTATATATTGTATAATGGTCTCATATACTGCTTTCAAACATGGGGGATGCTTTTGCTGGGACGTTCCCCCAATTCTTGGGCAATGCATGCCAGAATGGGTTCCCAACCCATGCCAACATGCATTGGCCAATGTTTGGGGGAATGCCTGTTCTCAGATGTTGGGCAGTGACCAAACAGCCATTAGCCCAAGGTTTAGGCCCCAATGCCATGCCAATGGCTTTGCAATGCAGGTAGCAATGGCCAAATTATTTGCTGGGTATTTGAAGATCATCATACGGGTATACACTTGCAAATTCAGGAGACAAAAAGAGCAAAAATCGTTCATGATTAAATGTGCAGTCATACTGTATATTTATGAATAGGTGTGCAGACACAAGTCTGAAAAATTTCTCCTGGATTTAGCACAACCATTGACTGCAGGATTTTTTCATCAATGCTATGTTTGAAATTTCCGCCGATTTTTTTTCTCAGAATGAAGACCATGAGAGATGCAGTATGTTCCAAAACATCTGGAATTATTACAATTCTCCTGTTTTTTGCCCAGTGCCATTATGAAAATATTTAAAACCTTGTCTGAACAATACTTCTGCCTATTCATCGACGTGGCCGATAACACATTTTTAATTCGTCGATTTATTTCATTGTGCCTTTCTATAGGTGTCTACATGGATTGCATCGCAGACAATTGCTTCTTGGACTCTGGTGAGTACGCCTCAGTTTTCTCCATTACCCGAGTGTGGATGAGTTTGGATTCTGTGGAATAATCAACGATTATTTCATGAGATTTTTTTTTCATGAAAAAAAGTTATTTTCAATTGCGCAGATCATCTTGACTTTCTGCTGGCATATTTCCAGAAAGAACGTGCCATAAAGGGTTCTTCAAATTTCCTCATAAGAAGACTCTCTCTCTCTCTCGAAATTTTCTCTACAATCACTCAGAATTTCGTTGTAGAGTTCATCCGTGGAACAATTTTACATGGAACTAAAATGTATCACGATAAAGATTTGGGCTTTTAAAAACTGAATCCTTGCAAATCAAAGCGAAACATGAGTAAGAACTTTTCCCTGAAGTAATAAGCGAACTCTGATGTTTTTTTTCGAATGAATTTTTGAGTATGGCTGAAATTCCGACGATGTTCAGTTTTGTTCAATATAATGCTTCCGGACCGCCCATCAAGTTTATTCGGATTGTTTCTCTGTCGTCGTCGCCATAGCAAGAAGTGACACGCTTGCCATCATACGTATTCGTTTTTGTTTTATACATGCGTATAGAGTATTTGATGCTGTCGTCGTGACAATGCGTCGACGACGACGACGACGACGATGTAAATAAAAGCGACTGTCGTATATTCATGCCTCTACTGGGAGAAAGAAAACAAGCCGTCGTCATAACGTTGAAGATCTCTCTCTCTCTCTCATCTTGGGCTGTCATGATGATCATACTCCGTTTTAGACCAAACACGCGGATATGCATCCCCTGTGACATTCCTGGATATTATTGCCAGCGAATGTCTGATGAGAATGGGGAAACAATGGGTGCCGCAACTCTGGTGTGGCGGGGTTTTACCCTCTGCTGTGAAGGACGTGATTTGATTTTCTTTCTTGCGTCGTTTGATGAAAGAAAAAAAAGGCAAAAAATTAAGTTTTCCCTGGAGATCATCATTGATTTCTTCCGTCATAGCTGACTGATGATCGAGGAACGAATAAATTGATTCAGCCACATGATCTGATAGATTGTTTTATATATATATATACAAGCTTTTTTTTTGGGTGCCAATTGTCAGCAATCGCAAGGTTCACCAAATTTTCCCACACCTAACACAGCATGCAATATGAACAAATTACGGAGCTATCGAAAGTAATTCACGATATATATGTGTAATAAAATATTGTAAACATCAAAGGCCAAATACAAAAGCGTGAATGATGAATTGCCATCTTTTTATTTTCTAATCGGACTGACAAAAATCACAGCAGGAGGAAATTATTGAGCAAAACTTAAGCACAATGCATTCAGCCTCTTCCCAGAACATTTTCAATTGATTATACAATTGAAAAAGAATGTTTGCGGCGAAATAACTGACTGTCCTCAGAGATTTGAGGGAGTAATAACTTTTTAATAAATTGTGAGAATCCTAAAAGTCGTCTGATACTTCAATTCTTATGATGTGGAATTCTGGGCATCAGAAGAGAAGGTGTTGTTGGTATATGCAGGAACTGAAATGTTGACACTGCAGTAATTTTACTTTTTTACAAATTTTTGAATCACATGATGTGCAACTCTTGAAGATAATCAATGAAACGGTGAAGTGTTGCATCACATTGTTATGTTTGCTTTTCTTGATTGTCTACTGGAATTTTAATTTTGAAAACGACAAAAAAGGGGAGTAAAATTTTTTTTCAAGGTGAAGCTTTAAAAATGTGATTTCAAAAAAATGATGCCTTATATATCTCTCAAAACTGGTGTGTTTTTTTTTTAAATATGCATTGCTGTTAGAGAGTTGAAGACGCTCTGTTAATTTATTCATGAAGGAAGTAGGTCATTTCATGCGCATTTGAATCTTCCTTAGTTTCAAACTTTTTGTCATATTTCATTGACAGGAAGTACGCAGTACCCAGACGGTACTTCGGATAATGGAGGCTATACAGAGTGCATTACCAAATCCACTCCATATATTTGAGCACTCTTTTTTATCTCTTCCTTCATAATTTTTTTTCGTGAATGCATCATGCGGGAATGCAACAAAAAACCTTTGGTTTTTATTTCTTGAATAAATGGCTGTTTTGCTTCTTGAGCAATTCTCCGGAGAAATTTGATGAGCTTGCAGAGTTAGTCCTTGGCAGAGTGCTTCCGAAATTACTTGAATGTTACGAGCACGTGAGAGGAAGAAGAGGATTCCCGAGAAAACTTTCTCGCAGAAGTGTTTGTTTTAGATTATATGCCGAGTGTTGGGAAGAGGATTGAGGCAGAATGGTGATGAACCCGGGCTCTGTCCAGAGGGAAATATCCGGTGCATTGCCAATTCTCTCTCTTTCTCTTTCTATGTGGTATCTCTGTTTCTGGAGACGATGGCCGCGGGTTGACTCATTCGGATGAGAGCCAAAGAAATGATGGGGAATGCGATGAAATTTGCCAGTGCTTTGCTGACTATGCTGTTGACTTCCGGAGTTTTGAAATTTTGCATGCGAAAATTTGAATGGCCATGGTCAAAGTCGGCGGAGTTGAATATATATATATATTTTTTTTTTGCTTCGTGGAAATTTCATCTGTTCAGCTTGGGATCATGTCCAGGGGCAAAAACAATCTTGACGAAACTCGTAATTAATGAGAGCAAAAAATATCCCTTGCCAATTCGCAGCCGCTTTCCGCCAGTAAAGAGACGAGTGGCCGTGATGCAGAAATTCGAGACTTTATTCGTTTTCGAAATAACTCAAAAAAGGAAAGAGTAGGAGTTGAAATATTGATTGCGCCATCAGCTAGGACCTTAAAATAATGAGAGAGAAAAAATAATCCTTACCAATTTGCAGTCGTTTTCCGCCATCAAAGAGACGAGTGGCGATGATGAAGAAATCCGAGACTTTATTCATCTTTAAAATAACTGAAAAGAGGAAAGAGTTGAAATATTGATTGCGCCATCAGCCTCATAGCTGACTTTTTTTATATGTTCAAATCTGGAAAAGTTCTTCACTTGAAAATCTTCGAATATGTGATCGCCCTTGAAAGGTTAAAACGATCGCATTGACCATAGAATGAAAACTGCTGGTTTCTCCCGAGTAAAATTCACGCGTTTCACTTTATTACGTGGATTTCTCTGTCACGTGCTGTTTCAAAAGTAAGTTTTATGGACAAAATTTTGAAAATGTAGAAGATCTGTATAATTTGATTCATGAAATGGGGAGAAGAATGTCGTGTTGAAACCTTTTGTGTGAATTCTCGAAATTTTTCGAGATGCCAGTTGCTGATGGTTCTCGTTTGTCTGCCATTATATACTGTATAATGCAAATGTTTTGTCTCCTTTTGAGGAATCAATTGCCATTTCCTCAGCAACACGACTTATGATGATGAATTGCTATAGTGCGGTATGATTTTAGAATCTAGAGCTAAAAAGCTCATTTTTTCGAAAATTCTTCCAAATTTACCAGGTTTTCTGGAAGCCGTTATGTTTTTGTTGCATTGCAAACATGCAACATCAAATGACTGGCTCAAACTGTATTTCAAATGACGATGATCGAATCCGCTGACAGCAATAAGTATGACATTGTTCGGAATAAGGTTATGATCTCCTCGCGGATATTAAATTGTAGTACATTCCTCAACTTCCGCAACCTCTTCAGGGATCCTTTTTCGATCACGGCGGCTGTGTCCATGTCTTGAGCCTGGATTCCTTCTTCTTGGAGGCTGGACATCATGTCCCTATAGAAGTATTGAGAAGGAGTCAAACCTTTTTATGCCAAACTCATGGGGACCCATGAGAAAAACAAATCCAATTTTGAGAGTTTTTCAGCGGCAGAGAAACCAGAATTTTTTGCTGGGGAACAATCAATTATGCAACGATATTTTTTTTATATATTCTGCTCCTTCAAAGGCTGGATAAATGAATTGACAGGATACTGAATTTGAAAAAAGTCTAAAATCTGAAACTAACTTCAATTTTAAAAAGCATGAAAATAAATTGTCCTTGCTATTCTCCTCCATGGGTCGTTCCCCAGAATAATAGTCCTCACAAAAGTTGAGTTTAAGATATTATTGGAGGGGTACATTCTTCCAGATATAAAATGTCTATTATTACATAACTCATAATGGAACTCAAACGGAGACTTGAGTAAAATTTGGCGCAGAGAGGTTTTTGACAGGACGAGAGAGGTTTGACTTAGCGAAGACAACTTAAATTTAATTTTATGTGTGCAATCTTCGGCGATTTTCTCAAACAGCATGATTCAATTCCGATTGCATGAACTTCAAACGTTTTCATTTATTAATATTCAATTTTTTTCTTTCTGGAAAATTGAAATTCCTCAGTGAGGTAAATGTTTTATCTTTTTGTTCAATGGTTTATTATAGTGCTACTGACCGAATTTCACAAAAAAATCTCATTCTGATCTCAATGTGCAATATTCTCATATTGGACAAAATATTTTATTATGGGTCGTCCTCATCATACCATTGGAGGTACTGTATGCAAAAACAGAGCATCAAAAGCGCTCCTGTTTTCCATCATACATTTTTTTTTTAGCTTTGGGGAAAAATTCGGGTTCAAAAGTTGTATGCTGTAAATGAATTTGCAATTTTTGTGAGTTACAGCAGTGACAGTCTCATTAGTTTGAATCAATAAAATTCGCATAGCATTTTAAAAATTTATTTTACCCTTCGGCGTTGTTGATGCCGATCGTCATGACCCTCACCGTGTCCAGGACGCCCTGCACCGTGCCCGCGACGTTGACCTTGCTTAGGAGAAACCTCAGGGTCAGGTTCGGGGTCAGACGGCACTTGCGGTGCTTGTGTCGCCGGATTTGAGTCTGTGGGGTCATCCGTAGTTTCTACAGCAGTAATCTCAGCATCGCCAGACTTAAAAAAAAAAAGATATTCAAAATGCATAAATGATTAAAACAAAGATACGATTGCTGATGACTGAGGGCAACGAATAGGGAATCCAGTACAGTATCTCGAATTGAATAAGATCTGTTTTGCACTAGAATTTAATGAGAAACGCAAATCCAAGGAAAATATGGGAAGAAAGTATTCAAAATTCCTCACGTCTGGGAGTATTGTGCATAACGTTTCCCTATCTTTAAATTTTTTTGCTTTTATTTCATGTCATGTTTGCCTGTTATTGTTATCGGATGAAACAGCCAATTTAATTTTTGAATCAAACCAATCAGGTATGGAATTTTCGATTTTTTTTCGTAATGGTATCACATCGAGGTTTTTTCAATTTTGGAAGATGAGAATTAAAAATGGATTTCTGCTGAGAATATTAGTTCTGACAATCATCGTACCTCGTGAAAGAACGATCCCGAAGACAAATTACCCCTTCTTGATGCCCGGAATTTTTATAGATTTATTCAAAAATTACTTTTAATTTCACAATTTTGGAAAATAAGGTTTCTGATGTGGAATCCGGTTGATAAATTTTTTTTTATGCTTACCAGCAGGGGCGAAGAGGCATGGCATGGCAATAAGATATCGTGACCAAATGCGATGAAGACCAAGATCTGTGCGGTGAAAAGGACAAACAATAATGCATAATGAATGACGATAAAATTCAATAGAAAGATTTTGAAGTTCACTCACGATAGTTTTTGACACCATGACTACAGCGTGATCTTACAGTCTGCAGCTGAACTTTGCCTCACAGAAGATTATTCTTCCCATCCTCGTATATCATCCACTTATATAGACGGAGATGAAATATAGTACTGTAATATGTTCAAAAAATTGACTCCACGAAACGCTTCCTGTGTTCATGATACAGGCACGAAGTGAATTTGTGTTCGTGCTTTCTTTTGAAAACAATGTACTTGATTGAATGGATTTTAAACCACGTATTTTATTTGAAACTAGCAATGCAGGCAAATCCACCCGTGCTTAGGTAAGATAGTCATGCTTCGGTCGATTACCTTTTTTTCAAAATACGTGTCCCTGGCGATATATATAATTTTCGCCTCCATTGACATTTTCTACAACTTTTTTTTTGGGAAGTGATGTTTTATTCAGTGTACGAGGTGTTCATTAGCCGGAGATTCACATTTTCTCTCCCTGCTCATGATCATTTTAAAAATAAAATTAGAAACTCAGGAATATGACTGAGTACCGAACATTGTTCCACGTCTTCAAGAGATTTTTAGAATAATCTGAAAAATATATGTTTAGAGCATTTAAATATAAGTGGGGTTTTAAAATGAATAGGTTCAAGCTAGCTCGGCAAAGAAATCTTGTTCATTCGGAAATGATTTTTAAAGTTCGTTTCGCGAACGAATCAATTTTTGGGAGGCATAAATTTCAACTATTCCCGCGTTTCTTATTTTTAATGCTAGTTTTTATTATTTTTCGATGCAATATCGATATTTTTCAATGCCCAAATATTCAGCCTAGCTCCTATAGGCACCTAGCATACTCAGCTCATTACGCAGTTTTCAAAATAAGACCAAGAAATTGTGTCTCGGGTGTTCTTTCCCCCTTTAATTTTTGTTGTTATTTTCCAAAATTTTTCTTGGGTTCGCAAAACTTGAAAGTGGAAGTTTCGTCTTTCCTCAAAATTTGTAGTTGGTACAAATTAATCGCGGAATTTCCAAATTTTCCTGCTGGTACGTACGTGAAACTGGGGAGTGAAACTTCATAATTTCAAATTGTTGGTTTTCAAATCGATGCGAAATTTCCTTTTTTTTCTTCCGGTTCTGTAAATTCGGCAGCGGAATTTTCTTCTTTCCTTAAAATGTTGATTTGTTTCAAGTTTATCTCCGAAGTTCTTAATTGTTTCTTTCTGTTCCTCAATAATCTGTAATGAAACATATTCTGAATTCCAAAAATGTGTGGTTTTCGGCCCAAATGGATCACGGAATTTCTCGTTTTTCTTCTTTTGATATTCAAAAATGCAACAACAGAGTAATTCTTTTTTATTAATACGCTGAATTTAATTCATTTTTTCCATTTTTTTCTTTTTGAAAATCAGTCTCCAAATTTTTCACTTTTTTTTCCAGTACTCGAAACTCGGCAGCCATTTATTTATTCATTCCTTCAATTTTTGGCAGTTTTGTTTTATTTTAAATAGATCGAAAAGTTTCCCTTTTTTCTTCCTATACTCAGAACTCGGCTGCGCAACTTTATTTTTTCCTCGAATTTCATGTTGTTTCAAATCGGTCTCCGAATTTTCCATTTCCATCGCAGTGCATTACTCGAAGGTCACCAGCCATTTCTTTCCTCTGTCCTTCAATTTTTGCTGACCGTTTTTGTTTGTTTTAAGTGGATGGAAAAGTTTCCTTTTTTTTCGTCCGTTACTTCTCAGGATGCGGCAGCAGCGGAACTTCCGTCTTCCTTTCAATCTTTTGCTGTTGTTTCGAATCGATCTTGAAAAAATGTCCAACATTTTTTTTTATGTTTTCTGGTTCCCGTGTGCAGCAGCAGCAAGAGAGATCAGTAAGCCCAGAAGGAAACCAGAGCGAGAAGCGGAGGAATGAGCGGCGAGGTCGATTGGATAAACACAAGCCGGGCTCCATAAACATTCGCTCTGGCGGCGATGAGAGCCGCTCCGAGATTCGCCTATTATTCAAGGGAAAAGGCCTCAAGGAGCGGAAGCAAGCTAGATTGCGTGCATAACCGCCAGCCCAGCAGGAATGCCGCCCAAGTCTTTCCTCTCTGCTGCTGCTGCTGCTGCTGGCCCAGGACACATCTATATGTATTATGCTGTACAGCATACGAGGGTTGGTTCTGAGAGTTTTGAGACTTTTCGAAAAGTGAGACCCCCACATGCGGATGCCTGGACCTGCAGACAATTTGACATAGGGACACTAATTTTCCCAGAAAAAAATCAATAAATATGGCCCAATATGAGGACATTGACTCAACAGTCAACATAGGGATATTTTGTGATAAAATTGCAAATACACTTCAGGCCAAATTACAAGAAACAGATGTTTCCAACCCTAAAATTGATGTTAGAAAAGTTCTTGAGCATTTCTCTCACCAAATTGCCATCCATTTAGATAATTAAGAACAAATTGCCTCCAGCATAAAGGGACTTCTACTTGTTTTCACTTGCATGTTATTTTTGTAGATGCCAAAATTTCAGTTTACAGTACAGAGATACACTATACTCCATGCTCCAAATGTTCTTATTGAGTTGAAAATGTATTCACTAATTCAAATTCAAGTGGAAAGCAGTTTTTTTCAGGGAATTCTGACGAATATTTCTTCCACAAAACACAAATTAAAAAGTATATAATGTAAGTCTATGGGAAAACAATACTTGACTTGGGGACACTCTTGATACACAAATTACGTCTGCATCTTGGGGTCTCACTGTACTCTATTCACTGGAGTACCAGGCACACCCCAGGGTCCTTTAGCCAGGAATTTTTGGATAAATCTTATCCTATCTGAGTATAGGAGTGACGCGCCCAATTTATTACAGACACTCCAAAACCACAAAAACCACAATATTTCAAAGATAAGAAAGACCCTAATTTGAGATTGAGACAAAAATTCAAATTAATGTGATAATTTTTCTATTAAACTGTTCAAATTGAAAGAAATTTTTATGTTGGGCTTATTCTAAAATGACCCTTTGAAAGCCAGCGTAAAATGAACACCAACATTTCTAGATTTTTTTTTGCAACTTTATTCTCACATATGATGAGTACCCCCCCCCCCCCTTTCTCCCCTGAAATTGGAAAAAAATGTGCGAGGGGTACTGGAATAAATACAGTAGATCCAACAGAGTTTCAATAATTCCAATTTTTTTTAAACTTGCTTAGCCCCATCATTTGGCAACACTTTAGCACTGTTCAACGTACTCTATGCTGATTTCAATGCAGTTTTCCATTCAATGAATCCAAGGATAAAACCAAGTGCCAAAAATGGAATTCTGATAGTTGATTGAACTACTCTTTGTTGGCAGTAATTATAGGCTGTCCCTGTCCTCAAAATCAATCCCTTTCAGTTTATTCTTCACTGTTGAGAACAGCTAGAAGTCTCTGAGTGCCTATAATTGACTAAACAGAAGTCGATGTTTTGATTGTTGGATTTATAGCATGAAAAACTGCATTGACATTGGCTGCAAGTATGATGAACAGCTCTGAAGTGTTGAAAAATGATAGGGATATAGGGACGTGACGTTTTTGTTTATGACATTGTTGAAACTATGTTGGATCTATTACCTCAAAAAGTCTCACAGCTTATGAACCAACCCTAGTAAACAGTACTGTGCTGTGCAGCAGCAGTATAGAAGGAAAGGAACCCTCCTCTTGCTCTCTTCCTTTCAAGCACATGGTTTTGGTTATGCTGTTGCTGCGGCTTTTGCAGTATATATATATATATATAATGTAGTTCAGAATAGTTGTGGGTGCCAAAAAGGAAACCATATGGACCACCATCAGCACCCCTCTCTAAACTCGAAAGATGCTTTCAACCGCCACTCTTGAGGTTTTCCCGTTAATATGCATGTACAGTGTGTGTGCGGGTGTGTGTATGGGGATAGTGGGGTTCCATGGGATGAACGGGGTGAGAGGGATAGTGGGCATTTCATCTGCTGCTTCCGGTTACTGTACTGCACAGCTGTACTGTACTTTATAATTGATCTCGAAGAAGACATTGTCCATTTGGAGCACTTGAAGGTTTTTTTTTCTATGCTGTCTGTGAGTGTTTGGAACCCGGGAAACACTATCCTCTTAGGCTTCTAAAGGATTATAATCAGTAAATATTTTCTGGGGTTTTGGGGGGTCCACTCTCAAGGTATCGCAGATCTCTTGAGCTTTGATTCTCAGGAAGTGATTTGGATCTACAGTATGTGAATTCGCGGTGGATTTAGATTAATATTCGGATTTCGTATATGAAGTCCGCGGACCGATTTGATGTTTACGGAGAAATATCCTTATGCAAAGAAATAAGAGGATTGCTGAGAAACGAGGTGAATCGACAAAATTTGAATGCAGATTTGGATAACCAAATGTGCTCTTTTTTTCTTGGAAAACATGTTTGGTAATTCTCTTTCTATACACACTGATTTAGGTTCTTGAATGAATGTACCTACTTTGGGGATGACTGCTGGATAGTCTCTCTAAAAAAAGTGAGTGTAATGACTTTCCCTTTTCATATTTGAATACTTTTCGCGTTCATCAGGCTTTATAGTAAGGAAAGCACCATAATCCGAACGAGGAATAAGGAAGGCTATCAAAGCCTTCAAACTGTGGTCATAATATTCTGAGGATTACTGTATTATTCCAATTTTATTTTATTGATGTCAATGAACTAACGTGAAAATTTCCAAAAACGAATGCTATATTGTCCAGTGTTCTACAACCCTGTCGAGTATCTGAACAACGAATGAAAGAGTTGGGTAAATATCGACGGCTTTTTTTTCAAGATAATTTGAAAAACCCACTTTCCGGAAAAGGAATCGAATTTGCTGAAACTTTTTAAAAAGGAAAGTAAACCCGTTTCCACTGGTTGAAAAGTTGTTGTTCATATGGAAAACTACAAGGGTGCCTATGGAAATTGGACTGTCCATTTTGAAGAGAAACAAGTTTTGTCGCATATATGTTGAGTGAGTATCTTATTCCTGGGAAAATACCAACGAAAGTATCGCGATCTGCGAAAATACTTTCCCAACCAACATCCAGCAATCATAAATACTACATGCACAATTTTTCCTTACTCTCAAGGTACGTGAGAAACACTGTCGTAGCTTCGGAAAG